TATCAGCAATGAATAATTAGAATTTGAAATTAATACATAATACTATTTACATTAGCACCAGTAAAATGAAGTATTTAGAATACATTTAGAATACATTTCTAGTAATTTAGAAATTAGTCTAAGATATGAGGGAAACTACAAACTTCTGATAAAAGATTAAAGACAATCTAAATATATGAAGAGATATTCCATGTTTCTGAATAGATGGAGTGAATATTGTCAGCATGTCAGTTCTTCCCAACGTGATCTGTACCTTCAGCATAATCCCAATCCAATGATAGCAGGTTATTGTTTTTGGATTTGGCAAACTGCTTTTAATGTTTATATGGAAAGGCTAAAGACCCAGAATAGCTAACACAGTACTGAAAAAGAACAGTCAGAGGACTAACCATTACCCAACTTCAAGATTTACTATCAAGCCACATTAATCAAGACAGTGTGGTATTGTCAAAATAATAGACAAATGGGTCAAAGGAACAGAATAGAGAGCCCTCGACAGATGAATGGATATGTAAAATGTGCTATATACATACAAGATAATATGACTCAGCCTTAAGTATATGTGGCATATCGTATGCTACAACACAGAGGAACCTTGAGATCATTGAGCTAAATGACATAAACCAGTCACAAAAGAAAAACGCTGTATGATTTCACTCACACGAGGCAGTTAGAGTAGTCAAAATCAGAAATAGGCTGGGTGAGGTGGCTCAGCCTGTGGTCCCAGCACTTTGGGAGGCTGAGGTGGGCGGGTCATGAGGTCAGGAGATTAAGACTATTCTGGCCAACATGGTAAAACCCTGTCTCTACTAAAAATATTTTTTAAAAATTAGCTGGGCATGGTGGTGAGGGACGTAGTTTCACGGGCAAGAATTTCCCAGTGCCATGGCCCCCGCCCACCACCATCTCCATCCAGGAGATTTAACGGTTATATTTGAATTTCGAGGGAGTGGGAAGAAACTAAGAGTCAGTCGCTCCAGTGGAAGTTCTAAGGAACTCCTTTCATTGGCCTGGGGTCTTGCAGAATGCGGGGGTTCCTCCCAGGTTAAAAGTCCCCTTCTTCCACATCCCTTTGGACTCCACATTTGGGTCCCCTTCCACGAACACTCCCTTCGTGTACGCCATCATTCTCTCTCCTAGATTTCCCCTCTGGGGTCCCCTGCCACATTCTCTCATGAAAGCCCGTCTTCCCCTCTGAAAGTCCATCTTCTCTATTCCCTTCCTCTCAGTGTGGAAGCTGCTTTCCTCTCCTGGATTCCATCTTTCTGGATTCTCTCACTCAGTGTGAGAGTTAGCTGTTTCTTACTCTCTCCTTCTCTTGTTTCTCTCTTTAAATAAATCACTTTCTACAAACACTTTTGAGTCTGGCATTTACTGTGCACTGCGCCGTGGTCCCCTCTCTCATTCCTGAGAGGTCAGGAGGCTAAGAATCTGGAGAAACGTCCTCTCAGGGGAGCCGACGGCACCCTGAACCCCAGAACCCCAATATTACATTTGGTGAGCCAGCCAGGAGAAGGGTACACCAGAAAGAGGGGTACAGCCGGGAAAGGGGTACACCGGAAGAGTGGTACAGACAGAGAAGACTTCAAAATCGTGAGTAAAACCGGCCCCATTCTGTCCTGTCTCTTTAAGAACACCTGAAGCGGCTGCAGCCGGGCAGGGCTGTGAGGTACCTGAGCGGCTCTGCCTTGGAGGCACGACCTAGCCCCTCTTAAGCAGCCAGAATTAAAAGCACAGTGTTTTATTTACCTCCAAGCTCTCTCTCTGCTTTCCATCTCCTTCGCCATCCTTCCGATATTATCTCTGGGACCAAAACCTGCGGGAGCCTGAGGGGTGGAAAGAGCGAGCACCCTCCACCCTCTCACTTCTGCTCCTCTCCGGCCAGGAAGAGCCCAGCCCTGGAGGCGGAACCCAGTGGGCGGGCAGAGGTCAGCCAATAAAAAGCAGCGGGGCGGGGCGCGGTATAGCCCGAGCCTGCAGGAGCCGCGCGCGGCAGCCTGGCGCCTGGTTCTGTCAAGCGGCTCCTCCGGCATTGTCCGGTCCCAGGCAGCAGCGGAGAAGGGCTCCCCAGGACGCGTGGGTCCCTATGTGGGCAGTGGCTCGGGGAGTGGCCCAACCGCGCAGGTGGTTCTGACAGGGTCAACATGGCAACAGAAAGCCACAGAGCGTGGGGGAACTCAGGGGGCCGGCCCAGCAGCGGCTGCGAACACGGCTTTTAAAGTGAGGCGGCCAGCGGCTTTTTTCCTCAGCCGGTGCTAGTGAAGGAAAGGAAGCAGCTGATGGCCGTCAGCCCCGGCTTTTAGGTAAGCCGCACCGCCTTAGGGTGCAGCATTCTCATTCAAAATACAGCTTAAGCTTTCTGCCTTCCCTTAGTGCAAGGGGCCTGATTGCACAGTTGGTTAACGTGTAGAGCTCCCAACTGCAAGGTTGCTGGTTCAAATTCCCTGATGGAGTTAGTCTTGAACTGGTGAAACCTTTTGGGGAAATTCAGAAGCTAAAGGCTATGAGACTCCATATTTGGTGTATAATTTGTCTTGCTTAGGATTGGCTCTCTCTGTGGCAGAACTTTTCCATCTAGAAGATCATAGATGAAACCAGCTCCAGGGCCCAAATAGTCAATGGCAGGTCTCACAACCTTAAGAGCATTTTCTACGTTGGAAGATGGGTTAGCGGAGGGGAGGCCTGGGTCCTGAGGGTACTGTTCCGGCCTCAGCCATGCCCGGCCTGCCTTCTTTGAACTGTGTGCTCTGATGCCCCTCCTTAGAAGTTTACCCTTCTGGGCAGTTTTATAATCTGGCTTGTGTGAATTGGACTTTTGCTGGAAAATGCTGGCACACCTCTCCTGAGCCTCACTGGCCTTGTAGGGCTCGCTGGCACGTGAATACCCAACCCAGTAGCTCCTTTGCTTCCTTGCCTCCATGGTAGTCACTGGAGGTCGTGCAGGCAGTGAATGGTCCCATGATACTGGCTGGTCGTAACTGGAATCAAGTACATGGGAGGCCCTCTGTTAAGATGGATCACGCATCTTGGGCACAGGAAATTTCGAGGTACTGACTGAAAGACGTTTCATTTCAGTACCCATTTTACCTGGGGGATGCCTCAGGTCGAAGCAGCTGTAATTTCTTTAACCAGGGTTGCTGGCATCCCCTGTGTTCGATTTCAGATGGGTGCTTCTATTCCCAAGTTCAAGTCCCCATTAAAATGTATACTGGAAAACTGGGACCACTTTGACACACAGTCTTTAATAATCCTGCTGCTGGAACCCCGGATATCCTTGGCTTGTGGGCTCTACCGTGGACCTTTAGATCAACCTGTACCCCTGAAAGGCTCCCCTCTGGAGGAAACCTCAACTGCAGGGCCCCTTCTACACCCCATTTCAGCAGGACGTAGTTAAAGAGGATCAAAGTTCTGTTGCAACAGAAGTTGGGCTTTCCTGTTCAAAGTGGGTGAATGAGGGAATGTGCTCTCATTCTGGGTCCACAAGGGGGCATAGTTTTAAGGGCAACAATTTCCCAAGGAACTCCTTTCATTGGCCTGGGGTCTTGCAGAAGGCGGGGGTTCCTCCCAGGTTCAAAGTCCCCTTCTTCCACACCCCTTTGGACTTCACATTTGGGTCCCCTCCCATGAACACTCCCTTCGTGTGTGCCATCGTTCTCTCTCCCGGATTTCCCCTCTGGGGTCCCCTTTTACACTCTCTCATGGAAGCCCGTCTTCCCCTCTGAAACTCCATCTCTCTCCTGCTTTCCTCTCCGGGATTCCATCTTTCTGGATTCTCTCACTCCTGTGAGAGTTAGCTGTTTCTTTCTCTCTCCTCCTCTTGTTTCTCTCTCTCTTTAAATAAATCACTTTCTACAAACACTTTTGAGTCTGGCATGTGCTGTGCACTGTGCCATGGTCCCCTCTCTCTTTCATGAGAGTCAGGAGACCAAGAACCTAGAGAAACGTCCACTCAGGGGAGCTGAGGGCACCCTGCACCCCAATATTACAGTGGCACGTGTCTGTAGTCCCAACTACTTGGGAGGCTAAGGCAGGAGAATCGCTTGAACTCAGGAGGCAGAGGTGGCAGTGAGCCAAGATCACACCACTGCACTCCAGCCTGGTGACAGAGCAAGACTCTGTGTTACAAAGAAAAAAAATCAGAAACAGTAAGCAAAAATGGTGGTTGCCAGGGGCTTGGGGGAGGGGAAAATGGAGATCAATAGGTATAGAATTTCTGTTTACAAGATGAAAAGAGTTACTGAGATTGTTGCACACAGTGTGAATGTACTTAATACCACTAAATGATACACTTAAAAATGGTTAATATGGTCAATTTTATGGTTATGTGCATTTTTACCACAATAAAAATAATAATAATGAAGAAAGGAAGAAATTAGCTATCAAACCGCAGCAAGTCATGGGGAAACCTTAAATGCATATTGCTTAGTGAAAGAAGCCAGTCTGAAAATGCTGCCTACCATATGATTCCAACTACGTATATGATATTTGGGAAAAGACAAGCTCACAGAGATAGCAAAGAGATCAGTGGTAGCCAGAGATTTGTGGAGAGAGGAAAAAGAATGAATAGAAGAATGCAGTGAATTCTTAGAGGAGGAAAACTACTAGATGATATTGTAATAATGGATAGATTAGGCTGGTAGGGGAAGTAAATGAGGTCAGCGGTTTGTGCAAACCTGGTTCCTTCTCGCCACACCCCACCCACAGCCCCACTGTGTGTGAACCAAAGGAGTTGGAAGGCCTTCTGCAAACTAACCCATTCCACCTGCATCTCTATGACATATTGGGCTTCTCCATATAATTTCACTTGGAAAGAAACTTGAGCATCTAAATAAAATGTTTGAAAACTATCATGCTATAAGACCAGCTTGTGCTGTCTGGTTCTTATGCTCCACAACACTAAGATTTCAGGGCATTAAGACTTGGTTCCAGGATTCTATCATTCTGCCGGGTTCTGTGGCTGAGGTTCTAAAGGAGCTTGCCTGGCTTAGAACTGCTAGTGACTCAAGTGTAATGAAGAGCACCAGCCAAGCCCTAGGGTCCATCCCTGGCTTCTGTTACCCACAGAGAGACAGGCCCTTGGCTCTCTTCCACTGTGACCTCAGCTTCCAGTCTTCCTTTCTGATAGACAATTTTTCATTTCAAGGAAATCAGAGCCCTAGTTCAATGAGGTCACTTTGCTGAGCACAGTACCATACCCTTCAGCTTCTGCTCCACAGAGCCTAAGCAAAAGATAGAAACTCACAGCTTCCTTCTCTTGTTATGTGGAAATCACCCCAGGATCTGGTGTCTACTTACCATACTCAGGGTCTTACTTTCATCCTTCCTTGATTGTGACCCTGCCCAGGCTCTCTGCTCCCTATAAAAGGCAGGCAGAGCTGCCAGAGGAGCAGAGAGGGTGAAAACAACCCAGAAACCACTTCTCATGCTGAAGCTCACACCCTTGCCTTCCAACATGAAGGTTTCTGCAGCACTTCTGTATCTGCTGCTCGTGGCAGCCACCTTCAGCTCCCAGGGACTTACTCAGCCAGGCAAGACCTCTCCCTCCCTAAAGGGAGACCAAGGGATGAATTAAGAAGAGCCATTATGTCACAGCTCATTAGAAACAGAACCAAAACTAAAGACTCAGGTCACTGAGGCTGGTTCCCTTGATCTTTCCTGATTCCAGTTTTCAGAAGAGGCAGTGGAGCCCCTACAGCAACAACCCTCCCATTGTCTGGGGAAATGACACAGAAGGAAGAACTGTTTCTCATTGTGGATGTGAAGGACATTTCAGGAAGTAGTGGAGAGGAAGGAAACATTGCCTGAAGCTTCAGATTTTACTTACAGTTAGTGCAGATTCTAGAACAATGGCTGTGTAAGTAGGATAAGGACCCAGAGGAGTCTCAGCATATGGCATAGGCTAGATCTAAAGCCCATGGGGATGAAGAACTGGGAAGTAATGTCTTAGAACTAATGTTCACAATGTCGGAAGTTTTGGGTTAGTAGACAAAGACTAGCTTGTTACTCAACATGTTTCCTTACCCAGTCAGCAATGAGGGGCCCCATAGTTCAATAGCGGAAACAGACTCACAACAACATTTTATCTCTGGGATCTGGACTAAGACACTGAACTTGGGATGGTGACTTCTTGATCTTCTTCCTTCTCTTTCCCTTCCAAATGCACACTTACATTGGGTCCTAAATGTCTCATTCTTTGCAAAATTTCTTTCAGATGCAGTTTCCATTCCAATCACCTGCTGCTTTAATGTGATCAATAAGAAAATTCCTATCCTGAGGCTGGAGAGTTATACAAGAATCAGCAACATCCAGTGTCCCCAGGAAACTGTGATGTGAGTGAACAGTGCCTGGTACCCCATTCAAAAGTTTTGTTGGACAATATAGATCATGTTCACATGAGTCAGATGGATATACCATCTATCCAAAGGGCCCCTCTACCCCACAGAGAAACTCAGCCCATGAGTAGGGGTCCATAATCTGTCTAGGATCTGCTTCTAGGGAGTTAGTAAAGCTATCCCAATACCTTTAGCCAGGATCCTGAAAGGTTTCACCTGGACAGCAAGAAAAAAGCTTCCTTCTGGAGTTTCTTCTTCTCACTCTTCTCCTCCTACCTCTCCCTCCTCTCTCGGGTCCAGGTCCTTCACTTAAGGACCAAAGGCTGATCAGGTTTAGGGACCAATGGGCCACAGTCCTGGGTAGGATCCTCAAAGTGTTCCATCTAATTGTGGCTTCTCTCCCCCACAGCTTCAAGACCAAATGGGGCAGGGAGGCCTGTGCTGACCCCAAGGAGAAATGGGTCAGAGATTCCATGAAGCATCGGGACCAAATATCCCCAAATCTGAAGCCTTGAGCCTTCACACCTGAACTAAGAATCAGAGCCTGAAGAAAACCTTATTTATCTTCTCCAAGTTTCCCCAGGTACAGTGTGACATTATTTTATTACCACTTCCGCAAAGAGATTCTTTTTAAATAATTTAAAGCACCATATTTCTTAAATAATATTTAATTATATTTAAGTTATTGTTGTTTTAACTCTATCTGCCATACATCCTGGTGAATGTGAAATACAAAATCCTGGAGATGTCTTTTTTGTTTTTGTTTTCCCGTGAGCTCAATTAAGTTCACGGCAAAAGTCATTGTCCTCCCTCCTACCTGTCTGTAGTGTTGCGAGGTCCTCCCATGGATCATCGGGGTGAAACACTTTGGTATTCTTTGGCAATCCATGCTCCTGTAAGTCAAATGTGTGCTTTGTACTGCTGCAGTTGAAATTAATGTTACTGTATATAACTACAGAATTTTGAAAGAATTTTCAAAAAGAAAAATATATATAATTTAAAACTACTTAGTCTTATTCTTCGTGGGGTAACATAATCATCCCAAGTGAGTTTGAGGCATGGAAGGGCATCATGGGTGGCAGTTGAAGCATGGAGGGGAACATTATTCAGGAATGTCTTTTGGTCAGGCTGGACTCAATCGAGGATCCCAGAAAACTTGGTGGGACCAGGCCAGGATGTTCCAGCTCTTTGGCTCTAGTCCCTAACTTCAGCAGCCCTTACTCATTAGCCCCTCTACCGCCTTTTCTTGCTACACTTACCTTTGCCCAAAGTCTCGCTCCTGATTTCTTGTAACCATCTTCAAACTTTTCTCCATAACCCCAGGGTTTTCTCCATCTAATTAATTCTCAAACTGAGTAATATCACAGGAGTGAATCTGGACCTAAGAGGAAACTAAATGTCTGTAACCCAGGTCCATTCAGGGCTTTTATTGAAGGCGAGTCTTCAATATGACTGGCGTTGAAGGGTGGCGTGTGTGATAGATAGCAAATGCACAGAGTTCTTCAGAGCTGATGCAGGAGGGAGAGGACGGCAGTGGGATAGAGGGAGGAGTCCCATCCAGCCAGACTCCAAAAAGATGGAGGAGTTAGGGTTTTAGAAAGGTTGGAGCCAGATTGTGCTGTTCAGATTATTTTGCCCCACAGTGTTCCCTCGATTTGTGCTCTCTCCTTTCCCCTGAGGATGAGGCTTCCTGAGAGCCAACCTATAACGCTTGTTGTTTCTCTTCTGGATCTGTCTATCCAGCACCCTGGCTCTGGGCTGGTACTGAGGGGTGTCTGCAAAGAGTCCTGTGATGTGATCTGTCTTCAGGTCTCTCAGCAGTGGATACCAGTACCTGCTCCAGTGGAGGAAGCATGGGAGTGAAGTGGACTTTGTAAGGATTCTTGGTTGCATTTTTCTTAAGTGCCCAATTCATTGTTTCGTACAGTCAATACTTGTTTCCCTTCTGCTCAGTCAACACCTGGATCTCAACAGGCAAGTTCACTGAAGTTAGGGCCAGGAACTCAGCTGGGTACTTGGTTGGTGTGTTCTCCAGGGTTGAGGCTAAGACCAGGACTGGAGACTTACCCAGCATGTTCTTTGGAGCTAAGAATGGGGCTGAGATTGCAGACTCAATCAACATGCTTGGTAGGTTTGGGTTCAAGAGGGCAGCTCACAAATCAGGACCAACAGGGCTGGGCCTAAGTTAGCCACATAACTAGGAGAATGAAGACATAGAAATGGGTTGAGCAAATAACAGAAATGGAAATGTATCAAAGATAGTGGAAGTCAAGTGCCTCAATGCTAAAGAAGCTTGTGTAAAAAATATGGAAAGTTGGAAGGCTAAAAAAAAAAACCAACCCTAGGATGTTGGCCTGGAATTGGAGGTGAACTTATAGTTCATTAACTTATTAGAGGTAAACTCATGGTTTCAAATATAGACAGGTAGGTGGCTGGAAGGAAGGAAGAAAGGAAAGAAGGAAGGAAATGGTGATGGGGGAACATATAAACATAGGCATGCCAGTTATGTCCACTGAGAAAGCCTAGAAAAAATGGCGCATGGGTGGTAATGTGCACATCTGTGCCCAGTTTGTAAATACTATCCTACGCTAAAGAAACCAGAGCTCCTGGCATAAGTGGCTAACTCCAGAACTAGAATATCCTATTGTGTCGAAGACAAAGGGAGTATTCGAAGAAAGATGGAGACATGTTAAAAACACTTAAGAACCAATCTGGGCCAGGTGCACTGTCTCATGGCCAGGCTCAGTGGCTCATGCCTATAATCCCAGCACTTCAGGAGGCCAAGGCAAGAGGATCACTTGAGGCCAGGAGTTTGAGGCCAGCCTGGCCAACATGGTGAAACCCCACCTCTTCTAAAAAAATACAAAAATAACCAGGAAATGTGGTGCATAGCTGTAGTCCCAGCTCCTGAGGAGGCTAAGGCAAGAGTATTGCTTATCTCAGTAATGCTTAGTAATTTCCTAGATATTGCAAATGTCTTGTCAGATTTATTCTTAGGTATTAAGGTTTTTATAAACTATTGGAAATCACGTCACTTGTGAAATGTCATTTCTTAGTTACATGTAAAAGTAAAATCAATTTTTGTATTATTAATGAGCAATTGTGCTAAATTCACTCAATTATTAATAGCTTATGTATAGACTCTTAGATGTTTTCCATGAAAACAGTGTTCCATGCAAAACTATGACAGCTTTATTCTTTCCTTTATAGTCATGATAATTTCATTTCAGATTCTTATATCTCATTCACTAGGACCTCTAGTGCAATGTTGAATAAAAGTGGACATCCTTGTCTTAGTCCTGCTCTCAAAGGGAAGATTTCAATAATCTACTACTAAGTGTTATGCTTGCTGGAGGTATTTTGTATATGCTGTTTATCAAATTAAGGAAGTTTCCTATATTTGCTAGTTTGCTTGGGTTTTTTTTTTCTTTTAGCTTTGAAATGGCTTTGAAACTCAATAAATGATTTTTTTAATTCAAATGATTATGTAATTTTTCTACCTTATTTTATGATAAAATACATTCATTGGTTTTCCAATTTTAAAACAAGCTAGTGTTTCTAAAAGCAAACCAATCTAATTACAATGTATTGTTTTTTCAGATAGTACTATATTCTATTTGCTAACATTTTATTCAGGACTATTACATCTGTGCTCATGAAAGATATTGCCCTATAATTTTTTTTTCTTGAAAGTCCTTCTCAGGATTTGGCCTCAATATTATAATACTTTTATAAAATAAACTGGACTATGTTTCTTATTTAATTATTCTCTGAAAATATTTTTATAAAAATTCATGTTTTTACTTCCGGTAGTACTTAGAAGTAAAGCATTCGGGAATGAATCTGTAAAAAAGTTTTAATTTAGTTTCAGTTAATTACTAGAATTGAAATGTTAAAATGTTCTGCCTTTCTTAGTTCTGTTTAATAGTTTTTCTCACATTTTATCCATTTTGTAAAATTTTTAAATATATCAATCTGAAGTTGTTCACAGTATTTTTTTTATTATTTTGTAATATCTGTAGTCTCTGTAATAACATCTCCTTTTTGACCTCTGATATTGCTAAGTTATAACTTTTCCCTTTTGATTCCTTGATCAATCTTGCAAGGGGAATTAACATTTTATTAATCTTTCAAAGAGCAAACTTTTTGCATTGCCGTTTTTCTTCATTGGAAGCTTGTTTTATGTTTTTATTAATTTCTGCTTTTATTTTTTTCTTATGTTTTTGATTTGATTTTCTACCTTTTTTCTAATTCTTCAGATGAATATTTAGATTATAATTTTAAGCTTTTCTTTTTAATACGTTCATTTAATTCTATGAATCTCTCTCTTTTTCACTGGGTAAAATTGCTTTATTAACTGATCAAAGCACTTCATTTTGTTTCCTGATCTGAGGTTCAAGCATTAAATACAGTTCCCAAGAAAATACAATGATTACCTAACTAACTGCAATTATGAGAGTTAGAAATTTCCCTAGTTGTTCACATAATACTTTTACCATTTCATACCACTGTGTAGACCACATAAGCTTAGTGTGAATCAAAAGAGCGAACCATAGCCATGGCTAGAGTTTTGTAGTAACAGAATGGTAATTATTACTTTATGAATATACTTTAAAAATCACTTGTCCTGTGTGCTGTTTCCTCATTGCTTGGGGGCGTGTCTGAAGGCTCCTAGGAAGGCAAACATCTGTTTCCATTCTGTATGCCCCTCTCTCATTTCAAACTGCGTAAAATAACAATTGTCCCGCCATGAACACTGGGAATTGGAAAGATAGTCCTATAATCTTCTGCATATGTTTAGGCTTTTAGATAAGCCAGCTGGTTTTTTTCCAAAGCTTTCTTTTGAATGATCAGATACTAATTTAATCCTAACTGTAGATTACTGTGTTTGTGAGGGTATCTAAGTAATCATGTGATGGCAGGGACAACAAAGCACTCCTGGAACACAGTGAGAGAGAGAGAGAGAGAGAGAGAGAGAGAGAGTGTGTGTGTGTGTGTTTCCAACTGAGCCTGCATTTGAGACTTCATTTTGTTGGTGGACAGCTCTTTAATCAACGCCAACGACCCTGGAACACTGCAGATTTGCTTTAGAGGTAGATAAAATAAATCATGCAGTCAAGTCAATTGAGGAATAAAAGGGATTTCTCCATCTTTAGAGAATATCGCGACTAAAAGTCGGTTCTTCATTCTTTTGCACATTTAACGTTTCTACCTATTTTGGGAAGTATTCGGGTCTTCTTGTCTCAGAATAAACACATTTAAATTCAGCTTGTACTAACTACAGATAAAAGAAAAAAATGGTATTACCATTTGTATTATAGCACTGCCGTTTGCTTTCTTGGTTTGTGACACACAAACATAACCATTCTAAGACATAAGTTAATTTTATCAGTGTTACTAGTGATGTTAATTTTAAAAGATCCAGCAAGTTCAAAACTTTTCTAAATATTGAAATCACCATATTTTAAAGACAGACTGGATGTTACAAATGATTCTGTAAAATAATCATTTTTCTGAATATTCTCATCTTTTGGTTCTTCCTTATCTGAATCCAGAGTGGGTACCTCCCCTCCTTCAGCAGTTTAGGTGAGAATACTTGAACGTGAACTGAGAGTCCCAGTCACTCAGGGACTGCTCCTGGGCGGGCAGGAGGTCAGAAAGGTCATCATGCTTGTCTTGCTGTGCTCCCTTATCCAGGCAAAAGGTAGCAGGGCCCCCAGTGTATCTCTTTCTGCAAAGATCCCATCCAGCCCCTTGGGCCCTTGGAACTTGCGACCTCTGGTCATGTTGAACACCTTGCCCTTGCTGGTGTGGTCATGAGAATTTGCAGGTCCTAAACCCCATTGAAGTGCTGCAGCTCGGCAGGGGTCTTTGGCAGTAAAGTTTAGGCCAGGCTCCAAAGCTTCCTGCTTTCTCCTCCCTTGCAGTGAGTTGCCGCTGTTACTCAATCTCTCTCTCTCTCTCTCTCTCTCTCTCTCTCTCTCTCTCTCTCTCTCTCTCTCAATT